CCATAGGACAATAGGCGGCTACGTGACCGGCCGCAAAGGAGTACTGGGAGAAGGGAGCTGCCGGCTAGTCTATGGGAGGACACGCAGCTCCAATCTCCCCTCTCTCCCTCACCCCCTAGATTGATCGCTCTCTGGGACTGCTGTGGTGGAGAGGGATCCCTGGAACCCAAGCGAGATAAAATTTAAGAACCCCACCCTGGAAAGTATATGGAACTGGAGGGACCACCTCGTGCAGCCCCCCCCCCCGACGGTGAGGTCTTCACATGCCACCCCCCTCCCCCAGAAGTGACAGCTAAATGGGTGAGTGAAAGTGGCAGAAGAGCAGAGTATGGAGTGTGATACATTTTAAAGTGTCAAATTGAGACTGAAGTAAAGTTTGATGGATAAAAGGTCTGGGGTTGCTTTTAGAGGTCATCAAAGAGATAACGGAGGGACTTATATCCAAATTTAAACAGATGAAAGATAATATAAAAGAGAGAAGATCTGAAAAGAACTTTAGTTTCCACAGGGGGTTAATGAGGGAGATGTGAGGAAAGAATATAAGGAAGATTTAAAGGAGGAGAGGAGAAGGGGATAAGGTAAGATAAAAGGAGAATATTTTGCTGGAAGAGTTGATTTTTGAATCCTTTAGATACTGGAAATAAATTAAAATGAAAAACAAAGGAACAAAAGGAGGTAGGTCAAAGGCCTCTCCATCAAGCTCAATTAAGAAATATATCCCCAGACAGGAAAAAAAGACCCCTGAGAAGCAAATTGGAATAAGTGAAAAGAGTGTGATAGAGAACAGCAGTGGTGAGAGCTCCAGATTATCCCTGGGAATGTCTAATAGTAGTCAAAATCAAAATCTAGAAGAAGCAGACATCAAGAAAGCAGGTGTGTTGGAGAATTCGGAAGATCAAGGTTTACACCTGCCAACTAAATCAGAAATAGCAGAAATGTTTAAGGGTTTGGAAAAATCTATAAAACAAGAGATGGTAAAGTTACATAAAGATTTGGGGCAGGTGCTATTTAGAGTGGAGGAGATGGAAGAAAAAATAAATAAACATGCCCAAATGATACAGATCTTAGAAAAGCAAATGGTGGAAATGAAAAAAGAACAAAGAAATCTGCTATATAAACTAGAGGATCAGGAAAATAGGAACAGAAGATGTAACTTAAGAATACGTGGTCTTACAGATATCTCTCAGGGAGAAGATGTGAGGGAAACAATAGAGAAGATGCTAGATATAATAATGGACAGATCTGCAGCAGAACCCTATAAAATTGATGGGGTGTACATTATAGGAAGACTATATCAAGAGGGTAGAAAAGGAAAACCGACAGATGTCATTGTTCAATTCCATCATTATCGTGATAAAGAAGAGATTTGGAAGAGGATGAAAGGAAGAGCTGCTATAAAATATGGAGAAATATATATACAGATCTTTGCTGATCTTGCTGCAGAGACATTGTTAAAGAAAATCTCGAAACCATTAGTAGAACAAATGAAGAAGCAGAACGTCCGATATAGCTGGGGGTTCCCAGCATGTTTAATCGGTTGGAAAAATGGGCGCTCTGCAAGATTAATGTTTCCTGAAGAATTGAGAGACTTCTGTGAAAGACTTGAGTTACAGAATATAGATTTTCCTGGGTGGAAAATGGGGGTGGAGGAGAGGTGGAATATGGAGAATGAGAGGTGGCAGGCAGCTTAGCACGGAGGCAGAGGATGTGGGGGGGGGGATATTGGTGGGTTTTTTTTCTCCCTCCTCCAAATTCTCCTCCCCCTTTACCCACTTTCCCCCTTCTCTTTTTTTTCTCTTTCCCTCTTTTTCTTTCTTCTGAGTTCCTTTCCTCTTTCCTTTTTTATTCTTCTCTTTCTTTTTCTTTTCAGGTAGGTAGTTTTTGGTGGGATGCTGGGGGAGGGTATATAGGATGAGGTGTGCATGCTCAAAGTTCCACCCTAAATTGGAATCAAAGGTGGGATTGGTACCACAAATGATTCATAGGCAAAATATAGGCCTAAAAAGGAGGAGGTGGGATGGGAGGGTGGGGGAAGGGTATGGGGAGGAAGTAGGCAGCCTAAGACTCTGTGGCAGCCTTAGATTATGTGGGATAGATGGAGGTACACTAGTCTGGAGAAACTTTAGAGAACGAAGGGGAAGAGAAAAAGAGAAAAATAGAAGAGATTCACTTTGTGACTTATAATGTTAGAGGTTTAAATAGTCCGGGGAAAAAAAAATGTAGGTTTCTTAAAGAACTTCAACATAGATTTTCCTCAGTGGGTGTTTCTACAAGAAACTCATCTAGTACAAGAAACAAATGTGAAGTTACAATCTAGACATTATCCAGAGTGGTATTATGCAGATTCCCCAGTTAGACGTGCAAAGGGAGTGGCAATAGGATTTGCGAAAAACAAAAGGTTTAAGTTGGAAGGGAGATTGGTAGATCCGGAAGGGAGATTCCTGTTTTTGAAAGGAAAATTACAGGTAATAGAATGTACATTAGCAAATATTTATTGCCCGAATAAGAAACCGGAGGTATTCCTAAAAAATAATCTTTGTATGGATCCACAGATGGATGTGACCTCTCCGGTGCATAGAGATGGTAGTAGGTTTTTGAAAAATTTGAAAAAAATGTTATATCAATGTCAACTGGTAGATTTATGGAGAATCAAGCACGTGAAGGATACAGACTATAAGTTTTATTCTCATGCACACGAGATGTACTCAAGATTGGATTACATACTGTTGGACCAACGACTTATTGAGTCTTTGGTTAAAATAAACATAGAAACCATGTCGATTTCTGACCATGCTCCTGTCACAATGCAATTACTATGGGGAAATGAGCAGAGTGGAGGAAAATCATGGAGGTTAAATGAGACACTTCTTCAGGATCAAGAGATGGATCAGAAAGTTAAGAAGGAAATAGAACAATATTTTAAGGAAAATTATTCTGAGGAAGTGTCGGTAGTGGAGATATCTTTTGGAAGATGCCATGCATCCGATTCTGATCTTCACTGATCACAAAAATTTAGAATATCTGAGGACAGCAAAACGCTTACGACCATGCCAGGCAAGATGGGCACTCTTCTTCTCCCGCTTTTCGTTCCATATAATGTACCGACCTGGATCTAAAAATATGAAGCCTGATGCGCTCTCACGCATGTTTGAGGATCCAGAAGAAGAGCCTAGGCCGGATACCATTCTCTCTTCAGGAAACTTTCTGGCCCTCCAAACAGAGCTTTGCTCTAAATTGCAGGACGCATCCATGGCCATGTCAGCCCCATCCGGGGTGTCCCTCCAGAACAAGGGGAGACTCTTATGGAAGGAAGGGTTGATCGCGGTACCGGAAGGAGTCCGAACACTGGTCCTGGGACATTGTCACGACCATCCGATGGCAGGGCACTTCGGCTTGGCAAAGACTCTGGATCTTCTCAAACGCTCGTTTTGGTGGCCGGATATGACCAAAGACTGCGAGCATTATGTCAAATCCTGTGCCATCTGCCAAAGAAACAAGTCTCCTAGAAATAAGGCCTGGGGGCTACTACGCCTGTTACTGATACCCGATCGGCCCAGGCAAATGATCGCCATGGATTTTATAGTTGAACTACCCCCGTCCCAGGGCCACACCGCCATTCTCGTGGTCATTGACCGTCTGTCAAAGATGGCTCACTTCCTACCCCTGAAGAATACCCCGTCGGCACTTGAAACAGCACAAATCTTCACACGAGAAGTGGTAAGATTACATGGAGTTCCAGAAGACATCGTCTTGGATCGTGGAGTTCAATTTACCTTCAAATTTTGGAAAGCCTTATGCAAGGCGTTGGGCATCAAACTATCCCTCTCCTCCGCATTTCACCCACAGACCAATGGGCAGACAGAGAGGACTAACCAGACCCTGGAGCAGTATCTGAGATGCTACACGTCTTTCCTACAAGATGATTGGCTGACACTCCTACCCTTGGCAGAATTCGTCTATAACAATGCAAATCACTCAGCCACGGGGCAGGCCCCATTTTTTGCAAATTACGGGTTTCATCCCGTTTTTCTTCCTGATCTGGTCACTGAGAGTGCAGTCCCGGCTACCCAAGACACGCTTTCCTTCTTCTCTACCAATAATAAGCCACTTCAGAAGCCATCTCTAGAGCCCAGGAAGATAACAAGAGGGCCTTTGATAAGAAGCGAAGAGGGGAACTGGTGTTACAACCCGGGGATAAGGTCTGGTTGGCAACAACTAACTTAAAAATGTTGTGTCCATCGAAAAAATTAGGACCAAAGTTTGTGGGTCCTTTCCGTGTGAAGCGAATGATCAATAAAGTGGCATACGAGCTCATCCTCCCAGAAACCTTTAGAATCCACCCGGTGTTCCATGTGTCACTGCTGAAACCAGTTATTCTGGATCCTTTTCCGGATCGAGAGTCCAGACCCCCAGAAGCCATAACCATCGAAGAGCAGGAAGAATTTGAGGTGGAAGCAATTCTTAAATGCCGAAGGAGGATGTTGGGGCCAGACCCAGTTCTTTATTAAATGGAAAAGCTACGGTCCAGAAGACAATTCCTGCGAACCGGCCCAAAATGTTCATGCCCCCAGACTTGTCTGGGAGTTCCTTCGTGACCACCCGTGGTGGAGGGATCGGGTGAGCATCCGGAGGTTGCCCGTAGGGGGGGGCAATGTCAGGGATCGCTGCGGCGCTGGTCACGGCGCAGGCGCAGTGCGCCGCCTCGCATGTTAATGCGGGCACTAGGTCCGGGCCGGCTGCGGCGGCGAGCTTGCGCATGCGCACTGAGTGACGCAGGGGCGTGCCGGGCACTGATGACAGCGCAGGGCGCGGTATTTAAATCACCCTGAGCTGTCATTGAGTGCCGTTCGGTCTATTCCTGTCCCTGATCTGTGTACCTGAATTACTGTAAGTTGCCTACCCGGATTGTCTGACCCTGCTGTATTCTCCTGCCCTGACCTTTGGCTTGCCTGACCTCTCTCCTGGATGCTCCCCGTTTATTCTGATCTACTGTTGCTGACCTGGCGTGTGACCCGACTATTCTCTGCCCGCTGTTTTGTACCTCGCAGACCCCACGGCTCCCAACCCGGCTTGTTTGAACCTGCACCTGCTCAGCTATCCATCCATCCATCCCATTGGGACCACCCAACCTCCTCACATCAGGCTCTTACTCTGCGGGAGCCCTCGGCGGATACCTCTACCAGTGGTGGGTGTGCCCAGTAGTCGCGACCTGGTCTCTGAGCGCTCCAAGTCCATCCGCACCATCAGGGGCCCTGGTGAACAAGTGCTCTGGGACTTAGACTCCATGCTCTGAAAGCGCCTGACCAGTGGACTGCTAGAGGTACCGCCGGGCGGTCCCTTACACTCATGTTGTCCTCAAGGAAGGTAAAGATGACACCCACTGTTCAAGTTATAGACCAATTTCCCTACAGATACTAAATACAGATACAGATACTAAATTATATGCAAATGTATTAGAAAACAGGTTGAAAGATTTAATGCGAAGTGGATACATATGGACCAAGTAGGGTTCATCCCAGGGGGAGAGAGGGTAGAGACAACGGATTAAGATCCCAGTTTCTCATACAAAAAAGTAGGAAAGAGAAAACTCCTGCATTGGTACTCTTGATAGACACTGAGAAGGCATTCGATAGAGTAAATTGGGGATATATGTTAGACACTTTGAAAGTTTTGAGAATCGGACCTAGAATGAGAGAATGGATAAGGAAATTATATAGTCAACCCTCGGCCGCAATCATTGTTAATGGGGAACTGTCAGAATATATTGAGATGCAGAATGGAACAAGACAGGGATGCCCTCTGTCTCCATTGTTATATGTTTTATCTCTGGAATCTCTCTTGGCTACCATAAGGAATAATATAGATATAAAAGGAATTTGGGTAGGAGAGATATAGCATAAGGTGGCAGCTTATGCAGATGACATGCTGTTCTATGCAGGAAATCCAAGGATAACACTGCCAAATTTAATGAAATCTTTAAAAGAATATGGCGAGATGTCAAATCTAAAAATTAATCTAAAACAGAGGTTTTAAATATAAACTTTCTAAACAGAAAGAAAAAAATGTTACAGAAGGAATTTTCCTTTGTCTGTTGAGAAAGATAATAAAATATCTCGGTATAAAACTGACCATATCTATAAAAAATTTATATAGATTAAACTATATTTCACTATTAACTGAGATTAAAGATGAAATAAAGAAACTAGGATGGGGATCTCAGTCATGGATTGGACGGATAAACTTGATAAAAATGGTGTTTGTTCCAAAAATCTTATATAAATTCCAAATGATGCCAATTAAACTACGCGAAGCATTCTTTAGCATAATTAAAAAAATCCTGACAAGATTTATCTGGAGGAATAAAAAGCCTAGAATTAACTATGATATCCTAAGTAGAGACAAAGAGAAGGCGGTCTGGGAGTACCAGACATAAAAAGATACTCAGTAGATACTCAGTAGATAACTCAGTAATATCGGTGAGAATTTTCGACTGGACATATAATGCACAGGGGAAAAGCTGAGTAAAAATAGAAAATACACTAAGTCATACGAATTTAAGCAGAAATATTTGGTTACCTCCTCAATACCTTGGATTAGCAGATAACACAAGTTTGTTTACACGTAATGTTTTAAGAGTTTGAGATATTTTACACACGCAAATGGGGTGGGAATTTAATTCACTGCTAATGCCTCTAGGGCACACATAGTTTTTCCCTCCAGGTAAAGAAAGCATCACAGGGAAGTGGATAAATAAGAAAGATGTACAATTAAGAGATATAATGGAGGGAGAGGAAATATGCTCACTTGGAAAGTGTTGGAAATATTGGAAAGTAAAAGGGAAATATTCACGAGAATGAATGCATGGCGTTTTTTTTTCAGTTGAAACATTTTATAGGGAACCCCCCCAAAGCCACTAAGAAAAAAAGAGGATTGGAACCCCTTTGAGCACTTATTAGAAACACGAGGAGATGGGAAGCACGGGACTTCTAAAATATATAAGATTCTCCCAGGTTTAAGTACGGTTATAAGGCCACCATTTATAGGGAAATGGGAAAGGGATTTAGGAGTCATAATTGATGAGAAAAAACTAAAGAAAATTTAGTTTAATTCACGGGAATGTAAATATAAAGGAGGTAGAAATGAATTACAAATGTTTGGCAAGATGGTATATCACACCGAGTATAGCACACAGAAGTTCTCAGTAAAAAAATATTAAAAAATTGGATTAGTGTACTACTTGAATGCAGCGAAGGGCCTGATACCCAAAATTTGGAGGGAACAACAGGCACCGAGAGTAAAGGTTTGGATAGAAAGGGTGGAGAAGATTTGTAGATTGAAGGAACTTTACCATATGGATGAAGATAGAATGGAGATTTTCCGTATAAGATGGGAAAAGTGGGAGAAATTAACGCATACCTGGAACATATGTAATAGAGAAAAGAAGATATAGAGGATAATTGTAAAATTAAAATAGTTTTATTCTTTAACTAGGATTAATAGAATAAGTAGGAAAGTGCATAATCAAGGCGGTGTAGGAAGGGTTGGGGGGCTGGGTGGGTATGGGGTAGGCAGGGAGGGAGGGGAAAGGGAGAGGGGAAAAAAAGGATACCAAGAGCAAAGTTTAAATTTTGATATAATTTTAGATAAATATGAGTATCCTATTTTGTATGTTTTATTAGCTTTTGTATATGTAAAATGGTATTTTGAAAATTTATAAATATTTAAATAAAAAAAATAAACTAACGCAGCGCTGTATCACAAAAAATGGCCTGGTCAGGAAGTGGGGTAAATCCTCTGGAAGACAGGTGGTTAAAGCAGACATCCTAGTGAATATAATGGTGGGTGTTAGCAATTTTTTTTATTTCACTTAGTACTTGTGCAGCAATTTTTCAAATGCAAATTTTTGGAAATAAATACACTTTTTTGAATTTTAATGCACAAAAACACAATATATTGGCCAATCGTTTGCTAAAATATAAAAGATGATAGTATGCCGAGTAAATAGATACCAAACAGGACATGCTTTAAAACTGTTCAAGCCCCAAGACACAGCGACAAACTACATATATTTTTAATTTCCGTAGGCGTCGCTTTAAAAGCCTTTACAGGCTACTATTTTAGATTTACACAGGAGGTCTAATGCTAGAATTACTTCCCTCGATCTGACATTCGTGGTGATACCTCACATACATGGTGCAATCATATATATCGACACGGGGTCGAAGCTGGTGTACGCCGTTGCGCACACGCAGGGGGGCCAGGGTGCTTTAAAACTTTTTTTTTTAATTTTTATTTTTTTTACCCTGTCCCTTTAATTTTTTTAAATTTTATAATCACTTTTATTGTTATCACATGGAATGTAACTATCCCCTGTGACTGCAATAGGCAGTGACAGGTATTCTTTTCTGAGAAATTTTGGGTCTATTAGACTCTAGATATCTCCTCTGACTTTAAATGATCTGATCTCAACAACATTGGTGTGATGGGGTGCTTTCCCAATATAAAAATGGCGCTGTTTATATCCGGCGAAACCGAAGTGATGAAATACTCGTAGTTTCCGCTGTCTTAGACTATAGAGATGATTGGCGCCATTCTGGTCTCCAATCAGCTCTATGGTCAGCTGGTGGAAATGCTGGCATCTCCTCCCACTGCTTGTAAAAGCAATCTTGTGGGTAGTTATCCATTAGGATTGCTTTTACATAAAGGCCGATCACCGGCTGAAAAAAATGATACCAGGGTGATGCCTGCATCCTGGTATAACCATTTAAAGTCCAGTGATGTACCAGTACATCACTGGTCCTTGTTGGGCATATATGTTATGTTCTTTTTGGGCATATATATTATCTCTGTCATAAAAAGTGTGTGGTATGCCCACCATGAGAACATACTGCCCTACATCCAGTCACTTCTAATGTTGGGCATGCATGCAATACAATGTTCTTTTTTCGTTCAGCCTGTGATTCCTCTATTCCTCTATTCCTCAATCGATGTGGATGAAGAAATCTCTGCCAATCTCTGCCAAAAAAGGATCGATTCACTCACTGACCAACCAGGCCCCCATGCTTGAGCACATATTCTTTTTTTAACTGCAAATAAAAAATCTCATCCACCAGCGCTGCACACACTGACATATATTCTGAGAGCAAGACCCCTGTTGCTGTCAGAATAAACAGATCGGTGCTGCAGCTGAATGGCATTCCTCTAAAGAAAACAGCAATGGTTAACAACAAAACAGTAATTCAGTAAAAAAAAAAAAAAAAACTTTTTTAATGAAATATGTGCCAAAAAGTATTGTAAAATATATATCCCGAAGCATAGACGTGATCCACTCACTGACCACCCCAGGCCCCCATGCTTGGACATATATGTTCTTATTTTAACTGCGGATGAAAAATCTCAGCCAGCAGCACTGCACACACTGATGTGTATTCTGAGAGCAAGACCTTGTTGCTGTCAGAATAAACAGATTGGTGCTGCAGCTGAATGGCATTCCTGCAAAGAAAACAGCAATTGTTAACAATACAACAGTAACAATAAAACAGTAATAAAATGACAGCTACTTTTGTTATTTTATTTTTTTTTTTTTACTTTTTTTTTTTTTGTTTTGTTTTTTACTTTTTTATTAAATTTTTTTTTTCAAAACTGTAACCTACAGATGTTAGGGTCTCTCAAAATGCGATTTTGAGACCCTGAGTATATATGTGCCCTAGACTCTGCCGTACTGTACCCTATACTAATACTCCATTGGTGTATGGTAGGGACGGAAGCAGTCCTTAAGGCAGAGACCAGGTTGACCAGGACAGGATGGACAAAAAAAGGCGGGTGCCATGCCTATTTCCGTGTTTGCGACAACATCTTTTTGGTGTGACTTTTGGGTTGGGGTACCAGGAAAGGCATCAGGAAAATTGGGGTTTGGGCCACAGCACCTTCTGGATACAAAAGGGCCATGATGATCTCTCCCTGGAATTTTAGGAAGGATCCACTTTGTCCAGTTGCTTTGTAAAGTACAAAAGCATTGTACAGAGCCAATTAAAATAAATATACAGGCACATTTTTGTACCAGTGTCTGGCTTTATGGGAAACTAAGTATGGCTTCATCATCTGGTTGTTGAAGTCCACCCCTCCTGTGTTAAGGTTATAGTCATGGACATAGAGGGGCTTCATAACAGCAGCTGCAGTGGTGTGAATTGAAGACAGGACGAAAACCTTCCGTTTGTCCTTCCACTTCGCTGTGAGCAATTCATCATTTTTCAAGCAGGCTTTCTCCTCCTTTCTAAAATGGGTATTTACAAGCTTTTGGAGGAAGCCCCAGTGATTAGGTTGCACAGTGCCACATGCGCTAA